TAGGGATGCTGATACCAGCGCCCCGCCTGAAACATCCTCAAAATCTGCTCTGAAAGCCAAAGGTGTTGGGCATGAAAACAAGCAAACCGCCAGAGACATCCCCACAAACTGGCCGCGAACGGGCCCGTGAAAACACACATGGCGGCTCCCCTGAAGGGTGCTGAAACTAGCGCACCGCCTGAAACATCCTCAACATTTGCACTGATAGCCAAGGATGTTGGGCATGAAAAGGAGCAAACCGCCTGAGACATCCCCAACATCTGGCCGCGAACGGGCCCGTGAAAACATCCCTGGCGGCTCCCCGTAGGGGTGCTGAACCCAGCGCCCCGCCTGAGACATCCTCAGAATTTGCCCTGATAGCCCATGGTGTTGGGCATGAAAACAAGCAAACCGCCCGAGCCATCCCCACAATCTGGCCGCGAACGGGCCCGTGAAGACATCTCTGGCGGCTCCCCTTAGGGGTGCTGAAACCAGCTCCCCGCCTGAGACATCCTCAAAATCTGATCTGAAAGCAAAGGATGTTGGGCATGAGAAGCAAGCAAACCGCCTGAGACATCCCCACAAACTGGCCGCGAACGGGCCCGTGAAAACACACCTGGCGGCTCCCCCTTAGGGGTGCTGAAACCAGCGCACCGCCTGAAACATCCTCAAAATGTGCCCTGATAGCCAAGGATGTTGGGCATGAAAAGGAGCAAACCGCTTGAGACATCCCCAAAATCTGGCCGCGACCGGGCCCGTGAAAACATCCCTGGCGGCTCCCCTTAGGGGTGCTGAAACCAGCGCCCCGCCTGATACATTCTCTAAATCTGCTCGGAAAGTTATTCACTGCGTGGAGCTCCCCATATGTGCATCTATTCGCATGGACCTGTCCGCCGTAAATGTCTAGGCGCAAGATCTTTCGAATATAAACGGGCTTCAGTTGTGACGGTCTGGACATAAATCGAACTGCGAATGAATTGGAGTGTGAATGAACCTCAGTAGTACGAGCGAGTCTCTGTGCATGAGCCTGGGGACTCCTGGGGCCTCCTGAAACCTACTGGGGCTTCCTGGGGTCTCCAGGAGCCTCTTGGGGCCTCCTGGGACCTCCTAGGGAGGTTTCGTGCACCAGGAGAGGCGCAATAGATAGCAACAGACGTACATAAAGCATTGCGGATTAGAGCCACAGGAGAAGGGACATGTATAGGAACACGCGTAAAACACCAAGGACTCGTGCCCCAGGAGAGGCCCAATATATAGGAACATAAGCAAAACAGTTAGGATTGTGTACACAGGAGAAGGACAATCTATAGAAACATACGTACAACATCAAAGAATCGTGCTCCAGGTGAGGCCCAATCGATAGGAGTATACGTAAAACACATGGGATTGGAGCCACTCCTGGTGCCTTCTGAGGCCTCCTGCTCTTGGGGCCTCTCGGGGCCTCCTGTTGCCTTCCGAGGCCTCCTGGCGCTTCCTGTTGCCTCCTGGGGCCTCCTGTGGTTTCCTGAGGCCTTCTGGAGCTTCCTGGGGTCTCCTGGAGCCTCTTGGGACATCATGTGGCCTCTTGAGTCTTTCTGTGGCCTCCTGATGCCTCCTGGGACCTCATGTGGTCTCCTGGGGCCTCCTGGAGCCTGTTGGAGCCTCCTGTGGCATCCTGAGAAGAATCTGCGCCCACGAGCCTGGCCACCAAAACAAGCAAACCGATCGAGACATCCTCAAAATCTGGCCCACCTGGGGGGTGAAAATGAGCGCCTCGCTCGAGACATCCTCCAAATCTGCTCCGAAAGCGAAGGATGCTGGCACAGAAAACAAGCAAACCGCTCGAGACATCCCCACAAAATCCTGCGAAAGGGGCCGAGTGAAACACCCCCCCGCCGCTCCCCTTAGGAACGTGAAAATGAGCGCCTCGCTCGAGACATCCTCCAAATCTGCTCCGAAAGCGAAGGATGTTGGGACAGAAAACAGGCAAACCGCTCGAGACACCCCCACAAAATCTGGCGAAAGGGGCCGAGTGAAACACCCCCCCGCCGCTCCCCTTAGGAGTGCTGAAGCCACAGAATCGCCTGAGACATCCTCAACATCAGTGTGTGTGTGTGAGTCATCCGATGAGTGGACCTGAGTGAGTGCAGTGAATGTATGAGTACAAGTACGAGTGAGTCTGAGTGATGAGTGAGTCTGCGTGATGAGTGAGTCTGAGTGATGAGTGAGTCTGAGTGATGAGTGATGAGTTTGAGTCATGACTGAGTCCGAGTGATGAGTGAGTCTGAGTGATGAGTGAGTCTGAGTGATGAGTGGGTCTGAGTGGTGAGTGAGTCTGAGTGATGAGTGAGTGGGTCTGAGTGAGAGGAGTGGTGTGTTCTTTCTCTCTCGTTCTCTCCTCCGGCGCGGTCCGCCAATAACAAGAACCCCATACTTAGGATATGGGGAAAAATCACGACGCGAGGTTTTTCGCTATTCTCGGCCTCTGGGGCCCCTACCAGGCCTCGGGGCTGTAAAAAAACGACTCAGGATGAAAAACCGGTCTCGGGGAATGGGTTCAAACCGCTGGGGGTCGACGTCATGAAAAAATCACGACGTCGGGGGTCTGGGTCTCGCCTCGGGGCTCAAGAGACGGGGGTCAATGCAGACGGGGGTCAGCCAGAGCGCCCGATCCTGCCGGATCCTGCAGGGCCAGGGTCGCATGGACCCGGGCTTGGATGCAGGAGTCCTGCAGAGTCTTGCAGGATCCCAGTATCCTTCGCGTTGACCCGGGCTCGGGTGCAGGATCTAGTAGGAGTCTGCAAGGCCTGACTGACCCAGGCCTGGATTGACCCGAGTCAGAAGGGCCCCGACAGAGAAGGAAAAGGTACGCATACCTCGAGGGAGAAAACAACGGCATAAACATAAACTGTCGACGGTCCGCGCGGATTTCTGGGATCGGCGCTGGGCCCCCCACAGACGGCGCCTCCGGCGCCTTCCTCTGGCGCGCTCCGCGCGCCAGGGAGGGAGGTCGAGCCCAAATCCAAGAAACCCGCGCGGACCCCCCAAATGTTATGTTTATGTCGTTTGTTCTTCCCCTGGCTATCCTTGCCGCTACCCTTGCCTCCCTGGGCCTCCCGGGAGGCCCCTGACTGGGCCTCCTGGGAGGCCCTCGTTGCCACCGCTGGCTCCGCCTTGGGACCTCGCCGCCCCCTTGGGGGCTTGCGATCTGCGCAACTGTCGCCACTTTCGTGGGCTCCTGGGAGGCCCAGCGGAGGTACGTCCCACGTGGATCATTCGGAGGTGCGTCATACGCGTTTCTTTCAACGCCCCTGTGTTTCCAGTTTGTATAGTTGCCGTTCCTCTTCTTGCTGCGCTCTTCTGAAATCACTGTTGGTTGCTCGTCTTGCGCACTGCGGGTCCTTCAGAATGCCAGTCAGCACTGAGTGGTTCTGAGTATAATCGCCACTTGTATAGAAAGGGTTGGGTACGTCACAGGGTAATTTCAATACGTTGGATGTCTGGGGCTGACCCCCGTCTGCATTGACCCCCATCTCATCCCATCTCTTGAACCCCGATTTTGACCCTCTCCGACGCCCCCAGTCGGGTGTCGACGGCGGCGGGGCCTTGCGGTTGTAGGCCTCCGCGGCGTCAATCTCCGCGGCCAGCGCGGGCGCCGCGCCCGCCAGCGCCGCGGCGGCCACGGGCGAGAGCTCGAAGGCGCGGGCGGGGCCAGCCTGTGGGCCGTCGGTCGTCGGTCGTCGTCCGTCGTCGTCGTCTTCGTCGTCGTCGTCGTCGTCGCCGTCGCCATCGTCGTCGTCGTCGTCGTCGTCGTCGTTGTCGTCGTCGTCGTCGTCGTCGTCGTCGTCGTCGTCGTCGTCGTCGTTCCTCGTCGTCGTCGTCGTCGTCCTCCGTCGTCGTCGCCGTCGCCGTCGCCGTCGCCGTCGCCGTCGCCGTCGCCGTCGCCGTCGCCGTCGCCGTCGCCGTCGCCGTCGCCGTCGTCGTCGTCGTCGTCGTCGTCGTCGTCCGTCGTCGTCGTCGTCGTCGTCGTCGTCGTCGTCGTCG